TTTCTTGATCAGCCTGGCAAGTCTCCTACCATCCACAGAGTCCTCCTGGTCAGTTGGCCTGTAACAGATCCCCACAGTAATGTGTTTTGTAAGTAATGCTTACAAAAATGTTAACCAGAGTAAAATAGTGTTTGTCGGGCTATGTTGCACTCTCAGTGTAGGTCTTTGAAGGATAAATGATATGTTTCAGTGAATAATCTCCTTCCCACCTAATCCCCTTACACTCCCAAACACACACACACACACACTACCTATGTGCTGAAACTGTAACACAAGAAAAATCTTGTTCTGTTATGTACAGATAAGTTCATTGAAAAATACTGGGTCTTATCCAACCCCCTTGGGTGATTTTCACCAAATTATTTTAGGCTGAGTCTGGAAACGTAATTATTGGAGAAACCCTGGTGTTCGAAGATGGGTTTAAATGGATACTGCTCTGTCACCTTAATGATAATATCTCTCTACTAGATACTGTTTTCTAGTACTCTTACCCTGACATATGAATAAGGAGATAAGCATGCACATAGTCAGCTAAATTCTGAGCTTTAAGGTTCAGTAAACCTTGATTAGAGTTGTTTGTTCTTTTTTATTATGTCAGTCTCTCCATGAAGGGAATTAAAAGGTCTCTAGTTAGAAAAAACCCGTATCAAAATCCTATCTGTGAGCTGTTTGTAGAGTGAAGTACGAGAGGTAAGATGTGCTACAGAAAGCAAAATAACTTGTTTATTCTGAGTAGCAGTTAAGTTCCCCTTTACAAATTCATGTACTAACTTGGCAGGTCTTTTCCTAACCAGTAGAACACTGGAACTTGGTTCTTATACGTGTCCAGTAAAACTGTGCAGGCAGTCATGGTTCTGTACTCCTCTTTGTGTCTGTGGACACTGGGAAACTTGCAGAGACCTGTCTTAAAGAATTACTTTTCAGAAATTATCTCTTGCTTTTTTTCCCCCCACCATAATGCTTCAACGTGCATTGACCTTAATGTGTGATGTTAATCTTTTCCAGATCTTTTTTAAACTTGCTTTGTGTTTTCAGTCTTAAACCTAATCAAAGCAGTATTGTGTATTCCTTACTACTTTAAAAGATCTCATCTTTAAGTGAAGGTAATGAAGTTTGTAATTTATCAGCATCCCTTTTTTTAATTGCTCAGAGTAAGGTTTTTGTCATTTTTCATATAAGTGTGGTATTTCCAGGTCTTCTCATCTTGTTTTAAATTGTCCTGTGCTGGGGGATTGTACCCCTCCTGACAGCTTAGCTGAGGAGGAGAAGCACTGGAGTCTCAAACCTTTCAGTCTGCAGTCAGCTTTGCCTAGCTGTGGTAGGTTATTTGCGTTTTGCATTACTAGGCCCTGTGTAACCACACAGTTTCTCTGCAGGCTGCTGTGGTGTGTGGTACAAATGCATTTGGTTTGCTTCGGGTCTCTCGTACCTCCTGTTTGAAGCTGCTCCTGCTCTGTAAAGGGATTGCTTTCAGATGCTTCCGAAAGTGAATGGATTCAGAATGTACTGACACATTTAACTCATACTTTTACTTTAATTTTTTTTTTTAAAGTAAATGAAGGAAGCAAACCTGGGAATGTCTAACTAATTCGACTGGGGGTATTTGAGAGCTGTAAGAGAAATTGTATTTCTACTCCAATTCAGCCTTGCTGCTCTCTACTTTCCTCCACCCTCTTCCTGGCTGTTCGGGGAAGAGAGTTTGTAATATAAAGCAGTCACAAACTCTTAAGTTTCAAGCTTGGTTTCTAACAGCTGCATAAAGAAGAGGCTTGGTAGGTGATTCACAGCAGAACCTGGTTTTACTATGCTTAGATACAATTATATAATAGTACAGACCATAGTTTGCAGTACAGACTGAATTAGAAGAGGTATCTGCAAGGACAAAATGCAAGTTACTAGGGGTTTTTTGTTCATTGGACAGGAATTCTATCATAATTTGAAATGATCTGAAATATTTGTCTTTTATTCTCCCAGGTTCCTGTTGCATGTAAATCATGTCCCTGTGGCTACATATTTATTAGTCGAAAACTCTTGCATGCTAAACGTGCTGAGAGATCGCCACCCATCACAGGTAATATTTACAGAGGTGGGAAGAAGGGGGGACAGCAGTTCTTTCCTTTTACTTCTTGGAGGCAAAAGATAGAGTATTTTGCTACTCTGTGTAAATTGATTGTTGTCAGTTCACTTTCCCTTGAATTTGTGCATGGTTAGTTTGAATATGTTAATTTTTCTTGAATTTTGAGGAGGGAAAAAAGCTGGTGTTTTCAGTCTTACTTCTTTCATATTTCTGATGTTGGCATTTATTCTGTGTCTAGTCTAGTTACACACGTTGGTCACTATGCAAAATAACTCTGTAGGCTTAAATTTTAAACTAACAATAGTGTGTGTGCCTTTAACGTAGTAGAATAGACCAAACTGTTCTAACTTACTAACATGTAGAGAGAAAGGAATGTTTGGCCTATGGGGGAAGGAACATGATGGGACGATAACAACTAAGGAGACAGTAAATAAGACCAAGGATGCCAGCCTTCAAGATAGCAGAGTGGTGCCCAGTGTTGAGCAAGACTGGAACAGAACAGAAGCAAGGACATACCAGCTGCTAACTTAGCAGTAGGACCTTGCAAGTGTGTGCAAGCACTGAGGCCATTCAGTAAACACTGTGAGGAAGACTATCAGCAACCACCAAGACCCCCTTTCAGGAAAGCACATGCTTTATTAGGATGCAAATAGTATAATTAGTTCCCAGAAAAATCTCATGAATATGTAAATAGTTTCTTGGGAAATTCATGAATATGCACAAGTATGCTAAATATATAGCTGCTGCCACCAAATATTGGGTGTGCTCACCTTTGTGAAGCTATTTGTGTGTTCACCCAGCACTGCAATAAAGAATGCCTGCTTTCTAAAACTCCAAGTTGAGCCTTAAGAGTATTTCTCTGACCAAACTTTTTGGTAACAGCTCCTTACTGAAAGCTTTCTGTAAATCCTATTTTGAAGCTAAAAGTCTAGAGTTGCCAAAGGGGTCAGATTTCAGAATACATGCTGATCGAAGATGAACTTTGTGAAAATAAAAATTGGTCATATGTGTAATCTAAACCTAGGTGGGTCTGCTTCTCTCTGCATGGGTTAAATTAAAAAATAGTGTGGTTTTTGAGTCTAAGTTACATGTCTTTTGTTATAGATGGGCACAGTAAGATATTGGTTGAATGTGCATTCTGGCATGATTAACAGTCTCCTTGTGTTAATTTTTATCACTTTCTCCAGTACTAGTAGGAATTAGTTAGAACAAGCACCTGTCAGGGAAGATGTTTAAAAAAAAAACAACAAACCCAGCAACCAAAAATATCTCATCTATAATGTCTGCTTTTTAAAATTACCTACCAGGCCTACAAAATGGAAGGTAAATATTTGGTGTTTTACATTATGATTTTGAAGGATGCTTGTAGTTTACCAGCACATAGGAATTACATGACATTGTACCAGATAACTGAGCTTTCAAGGTGGACAGAGGAGTTTAAGCAATGCCTGTGGTAGTTTGAAAGTATTGGTCAATTTTCTTCCCCACCCTCCCCTCCCCAGTTGTTGATAAAGTAGTTAACCAAATGAAGCTGAAGGCTGTTAATGTGGTGGAGCAGAGCTTGAGGGGGATCTCATCAGTGTGTATAAATACCTGAAGGAAGGGTGCATAGAGGACAGATCCAGACTCTTTTCAGAGGTGCCCAGTGACAGGACAAGAGGTGATGGGTACAAAAATGCAGGCTGTTCTCTCTGAACATGAGGAAACACTTTTTTACTGTGAGGGTGACAAGCACTGGCACAGGTTGTCCAGAGACATTGTAGAGTCTCTGTCCTTGGAGATATTCAAATGCCATCTGGACATGGTCCTGGGCAGCTGGCTCTTGGTGGCCCTGCTTGAGTAGGAGCATTGGACAAGGTTGATCTCCAGAGGGCCCTTGCTACCTCAGCCTTTTTGGAATACTGTGAAATACAGCTTTTGTATTGACATTAGTGACATGTTACCCTGCTGTTCAGTGTGTACCCTATGTCTGCACAAGATTAATGGGATGACTGCAGCAAAATGAAAATATTTCCCAGGAAGGTGTAGTGGGAGACCATGTATGTCTGTATTGTGCTCATAAGGTAACTGCAACTTCCTTTAGAAAACGTTGTTCCAGTATTTTCAACAATATAGCTACTGCAGAATTGTGCTACAGCTTTGCATATGTGCATCTAGTCTGTGTTGAATAGTGTGCTGTGGCAACTAATATTTTCATACCCAAGCTCACTATTCTGTACTTAACTTACAGGTGAAACTCATGTAAATACTCTTCTTTTTTCTTTTTCTTTTTTTTTTTTTTTTTTGACTCTGACAAGACATTAAGTCTTAATTTCAGCATTAAGTATTATGAGGCCTTGTGCTAGGCTAGACTTGGTGGGACGTGTGCTGTGTAATGTGGCATTTACTGACTGCATCATTGACTCAGCATTTCAATTTGTGTGAGTTAGGAATGATTTAATTGTTAGTGTCAAACAAAGATCAAGTACTTTGCTTGCTGTTTGCCTATATGATAAATTCTTTTCTTTAGCTAGTGGAAACAGATGCAATGGGCTGTCTCAATGTTTGTGATATGTACAGGTTTTTTCATCTTATTATGGGAAAAAACTTTTTGTGTGTGCTAGCAAATGTCTACTGCAAAATGCATTTGAAGTAATTAAAGGCTTGACCTTTGCAATCAAGAAATAAAGTGTCATTGTGGATATAACACCTTAATTTGTGCATGGGTGCAGAAATTTCTGTGCAAATGTAATTGTTCGGTAAAGTCATCTAACCACTTTTGCTGAGAGAATTGAAGAAGAAAGGTGGTTGGGCGAGGTGCAAGTGCTAACAGTAAATTAATTAAAAAAGATGAAAACAGCCCTAGATCATACCATACCATCTCTTCTCATTTGCACAGAAAATAAGAATGAGGCCAAAAGGAGACGAACAGAGAGAGTTAAGCGAGAGAAGATAAACTCTGCAGTAAATAAAGACTTAGAAAACCGAAAAAGATCCAGGTCTAACAGCCATTCAGATCATAACAGACGAGGAAGAGGAAGACCTAAGAGTGCCTCATCCAAAAAACACGAAGAAGAAAGAGGTATGAGAACTGGAAAAATGTTAATTGTGTTTTCTTTTTGTATGAGGACTTTTTTTATCAATAAATTTTTGTACCATTCAAACCATTTAAGTAAGTAGACTAGTTCAGCCAATACCTGGTACCTTAATATGGGTAAGGGGCAGTTTCCCATCTGTAGAGGCCTCTGGTTTTATGTTTCAGTGTCTGATTGGAACTAACTGGAGAGAACTAGTCTGTATTTTTAGCTACTGTATCAAGTTTCAACATGTTTGAAAGCCATTGGCCTGTAGTAGTGCTTAGTAGCTTTTTTGGTTTCTTTTTTATTTTTTTTTTTTAAGTACTGCTGCCCTATATCACAGGGACAGACCGTATCATGATGTCTGTTGTCAGAGTGATTAGGATGACTGGATTGTTCTAAAAGTTCCTTGAAAGCTTTTGGAGGACCAAAATAAAAATGGCATCTTGAGTCACTACTCTGACCTGAATTTTTGTCCTACAGAGTAATGCTCTAGAGGAAGAAATGCCTCCTGGCTTATTAAGGTTCCTTGGTCACCTGCTGGTTTTAATCTTTATATTAATCTATATAATCTCAGAGCCCTCCAAGTGTGTGACTGTCACTTAAGGTTCTTTGAAAGCCAAATGACACTGCATTTGCTCTATGTGGTTTTGGGGATATTAATTTTAGGCCTGAATAGTGAATCCAAAAGTTAGCATGGACTTAAAAAGGCTGGAAGGCAGACAGGAGGGGAATAACAAGATTTAACATAAATATTCAGATCTTATTCTTGAAACTACCGAAATCTTCAAGCATACCTTGTGGCATTAACTCAGAATTGCTTTGTTTTTTTCATGACACCTTATTTGCTAATAAAAAAATGGGTGTTAATCCATGTTTCAAAGTGAGTTCCTTTAAATTCTAACTTTTCAAAACTGATTTTATTGTTTCTGCCGTTTAATGTAAATCTGTTCTTTCTTAAAGTTTCTTTTCTGTAAAAACAAAGTACAAACTGGGATTTGTTCTTGATTCAATGCTTTGGCTGTGGAGGGAGGAGATGGAATTTCATTTCTGTATGTTTTTTGGATGGCGGTTGCTTTACCATAATAGGAATACACTTATAATATCTAATCTCTTCAGTGTTGCATACGGCTTATTGATGTATGTAGCTTCACAGAATACAGAGTTTCCCTATTTGTTATTGATCCAAGCTATACTTTGACTAGCACTGATAGAATTATTTCTAGGCATTTAACTGTGGGTCAAGTTCGCACATAGTTTTGGTTTGAAAATTCCTGCAAGCTGGTTGGGTTGTCCTGTAAAAATAAATAATCTTTGCTGTCCCCTGAAAAAGAGGAAAGCAATATAAGCAATCAAAAGATCCATTCTCTTAATGCATGTTTTATAGTCTTGAAATTCAAAGAGTTTGAAAATGTAAGGGATATTTAGAAAACATTTTTCTGTCCAAACCTAGGCTAAATGTTTTTAACCTTTTGCTTCCTACTTTGAAGTGTGACAATGTGCAAGTGCTCTCAGGTAGAAATATGGATGCAGTGAGATCTTTGCGTGAGATCTCACTGTGTGTTTTTTTTTTTCTTGGTGTTTGGTGTTGTGTTTGGGTTTTTTTAAGTTGAATTGCACTTGAGGAGATTGCTTTCACCTTCTTGTCCTGTCCTACCATCCGCTTTACTTGGTGGTGTGACTATTGCTACTGCTTCTACCTTGACCTCTTCTGCAGAGCTGGTACAGACTTGGGTTTGCACTCACCGGTACAGCACACTTTACTGTTTAGAAATAAGTGGGATTAAGATATTTTCTTACTTCTGACGTGTTTCTGGGTATGTCAGACTGTAATGTGTGCAAACCACTGGGGTGATTATTGGGCAGATTAAAAAACAATCACCCAAAAAGTTGATATATATGGCTGTCATAGCTATAAATTCAGTAGAGAACCCATAGTTTTGTAAGTAATTATTATAAAATGAGTTGATGTTGACTCTTCCCTTTTCAAGTGGTTTCTAAAATTGGCCTGACTACTGTGTGTGGAGTAAGTACTGGGAATTTTATAAATATTCTTCTTGTACCAAACCTGCTGCTTGATAGTGGTGTTTACATAAAAGCATATTAAACAACTTTTAATTCCTCTACTACAATTAAGGTGATTTTTTGTATGACTTACTTCATAGTGTTGAAAGTCAGCTGTGCAGTGTGGGAAATAGCTTAGTGCTAGACAAAATACTTGCTGTCTCTTAGGCTTCTGCAATGCCTGATGTATCTGTAGATGGAAAAAAGGGAGAGCAGGGAACACCTGAATTATAATAGGATGCAAGAGCAAATAATCTGTCAATTTGAAGATCACTCAGTGAAGATTTCCTGCCTAAAGACACCCATGACGTCTGTAGCTTTGATACTGTGCTTGTCATGCTCTTTTCATGCATAGCATGCCTGTTTCCAGTTATGTCTGTGCCTTGGACTAGCTATTCTTTTGTATCCTTCGTGAGTGGCTCACATTAGAGCAAAGAGCTGCAGGATTCAACAGCAATTAAGAAAAATAGGAGAAGCAAGAGGGCTTTTAAGAATAAACTATGTTTCCTGCAGATTTAGTGAGAAGGAATGGAGGGTGGGGAAAGAGGAAGCTGACACGGAGGGGATATGGCTGAATGCTGGGACCCAGAGAATCAGCCACGTGATGGCCCTGGAAAATAGGAACCTCTCCCTGCAGGCTTGGCTTGTCAGAATTGTCACTTAATTTGTTTGTCAGAAATGATACAGTCTATTTTGAAAATAGAAACACTTCATAATAATTTGATTGTGATTTTGTTGTGGAGATTATATGATTTTTGTTGTGCTGTGTGGGACTGTGATACCAGCCAGGCTTGTTCCCAGTCTGCCTTGTTACCTAGGTAACAGCCTTGATTATATTAAAACAAACAAAAAACCCCTCAGATGCTGAAGGAAGTGGTATTGGTTGTTCAGAAAGAGTATACCATCAACGGAGACTCAGTAAAAGTAGCCTGGAGTCTTACTAAAGCATACTTGACAATTAACAAGGGATGAATCTTTATAAAATTACATGCATTTCAGTATCTTGATAAAACTTAAGATGAATTAAGGTTTTCCATTAATTTCCGACTGTATTACTGGTGCATTTGTTTGGATAGTGAATTTCAGAACTTTGGATTTTGAATTAATACAAAATTTGTGAGGGGGGAGGGTCCATTTTTGATTTATACATAATTATATTTTAGGTCTGTGGGTCTAGTGGATTGCAGGAGATCTGGGGATGCGAGACATGCTCCAGAAAGACTGATTTTCACCTAAATAGCCTTTTAGTTGTATAGCAAAATACTTAGTCTCACAAAAATAGTGTTGTAATTTAGTAAGACAGACTTTTCCTAATAATAGAAAAATGAGTCAAAACTACTTCCAGATAAAAGCGAAGTGAAAAGTTTTAATAGTGCCTGTAGAAATCATGGTATCCTGTGAGTAGCATATGATAAAATGTCATACAGGTGCAAGCTCTTCTCTAGTTACTGATGAGAAGTAGGATTGCCTTAAGAATGCATAAAGCTTGCAAACCTGTGCTAATACCTGATCCTGTTTGAGACCAAGATTTTAATTCTTCAAAGCTGAAGTCTCTCGGAACAAGCCAGTACTTTGGGAGGACAGGGCGGAGGGGAAAGCTGAGAAATCTTTTTTGCTAAGAACTTTACAATGTGTTAACAGTTTTTAACTTTGCTGGGTGCTGACATATTCAGGTGGTGGTTGGATTGTTTGGGTTGGAAAAAATGAAGAAAGGGCAGGGGTTTAGATATGAAAATGGTAATGTGGAATAACCAGCGTGTGTAGTGTCTGTGCTCGGAACAGCTCCCAGCATTGTTAATTTGTAAATGGGAGGGAGAAAGTAGAGCAGCGCAGACTGAGTGTATGTACAGAAACTGAGTTACGTTATGCAACAGGGTAGGAATAGCAGCAAAACTCGCTTTCTTAGCTTTCGTTTCGAACTCAGTGCATTAGAGAATATTGTCTTCTATAGCAAGGCATCAGGCAGAAATCACTTAGATTTCAAATAACAAACATGCTTTGATTTCTCTTACTTTGCTAAGTAGGTGTCCTGTATTCACATTAAAAACTGATGCATCTTTGTGTGTCCAGGATCTCACTAAGCAATTTTACTTGCAGGGAAAGTTGAGCTTGAGTGTGATTGAAGTTGTCTAGAAATCTGTAAGTAGAGGGTTTTGTTGGGGTGTGTGTCTCGGTATTAAATCAGAACACAGTGGTAAAGGATTTTTCAGTTTCTCACACTTTAGTAGTTTAACACAAGCACTTGATTTTGCAGGGGATGCAGTCTGTTGGAATGGTGCCTGTAGCTGTAACACAAATGTGAAGCCAGATCTAAAAGTTTGTTATGAATGTGGACCCACTGGGGGGATGACTGTGTGAGCAGGTGGAGATATGAGATGCTGGGATTCTATGAGTTTGTTGTATGTTACTCTAACTTAGCGGAGTTGAGTGCTTCAGCGTGGAAACTGCTTGATGGCTTGCTGCTGTGCGTCTGTAGCATTGAAACAAGCCACCATGACCAAAGGGAATGCAGAGGCTTTTCAGCTGCTCACTGAGCTATTTGCATTGTTCTGTATCTGGGATAAGAAATGTTTGTGGTGACTAATTTGGAACCTGACTTCTGCCATGTATCTGCATGTTGGTTTTGGATGCTGTAAACAAACTTTTGGGTTTCTGCTGCTTAGAGATAAAATAGGGGGACAAATGTCGTATTTAATGAGGGTATAATAAAAAGTACCTTTGTTTTCCAGGATGGGAGGTGTTTATGTAAAGGGAAAAAAAAAAAACCAACCAAAAATTGCAAAAACCCCACCAAAAAACCTGGAAGGAAGCTTGGATACTTCTTTGTGTCAGGAATCAGTATAATGTTAACAACTCATTCTTTTTTCATTGTTAAAGAACAGAAATTCACTCATGCTTTTGGATGACTAATTCTGTGGCTGTTCTAGCACCTTTGTTCATTCCTTTCCCCTCTTTCTCAATCCTGCCATGCATAGGAGTTGACTGTTAACTTCTTTTCAATTCCAGTGCTCCATTCCACATAATTTATTAAACTTTGTGTAACATGCATTAACTTAAATGGAAAAAGCTTCTAATAGTGACTTTTTTTTCTTCTACAGAGAAACAAGAAAAAGAAGTTGACATGTATGCTAACCTTTCAGATGAAAAGGCCTTTGTATTTTCAGTGGCCTTGGCGGAAATAAACAGAAAAATTATCAATCAAAGACTTATTCTGTAACTTGTAAGCACAATCTGATGCATTTATATGCAGATTGCTAGTGTATTTGCAAGGTGTCACGGACTCTCTCAGAAAGTGTTTTGTCTGTAACGACAAGGACCATGGTATTTCCTTTTAAAATTCTGCTGCTGTTCTTGGAAATCTGTCTCTACAAGTCAGAAAGAAAGTGTTCACAAGAATGTGTTATGAAAAATCATAAAGCAGATGTTTTACGCCTCGAAGACAAATGCACAGAGAGACTGCACCCATTCCAGAGCACTTCTTTTAAATTTACTGCCAGAAATGCAATATTTTAAATATTTTCAGAAATAAATGATTTTCCTTTAAAATTATATATTTCAGATTTTTCAGCTATATTGCAGTTTATGTATGTATAGTTCACATAACTTTTTAATAAATTGATACTCCAATATTTTATTGAACTGGGCATTAAGTACATCTGGGATATTTAGTATGTGTTGGTTTTAATCGTCTTAGAAATCTGGTATTCTTCCTAGGTGTGACTTTAGATTTGCATTTTTTTAAAAGGTGTGATATAATTGATAGAAAATTAAAGTGGTTTCACTTTGGGGGATTGTTCTGCTTGACAACTTCAAACTGTTCATGAATTCTGTCTAGAAAATGATTCCCTGTTACATAGAGTTGTTTAAAAATTGCATACACTTTTGGGGTTAGACCCTGAAGTTTGAGAGGTAAGCACTGTTTTGTAACAACTATTTGATGGGTGTCTGCCTTGTCCAGCTGGTAAGTACTTCTCCAGTACTCTTTCTCAGCCCATTATTTACTGGAAAGGGAGAGAAGCAGGTGTCAGAGATGCGGATCTGCAGCTAGCATCTTCTTACTGGATATTGCCAAAAGACAAGTGGTATGTTAGTGCCATTTACTCTCAGTAGCTTTTCTGTCTTAAAGTAATTCTTAGCAGTAATGTCTTTTGGACTGTTGACTGTAAACATCAAAGCAAAAGTCTACCTGAGTGTGCAAAAAAATGTGCTGTTTTGATAGAAATAGGTTTGGGGAAGACATTCAACAAAGTAGTCTTTGTTAAAATGGTATGGTGGATTTTTAGCCCAAGCCCTTACTTTAGTGAATATATAGGGGGTTTGTCTTGCCAAGGAGAAAGAAAAAGAGCTCAAGCCCTGTAAAATCCTGGGGGAGCAGGTGTAGGAGGTAATTGCATTCATAAAACCTGTCATACTAGCTTTTTGTCACCTTTCATTCGCTCTTTTCTAAGGGGAATGCAATTAAATGTATTCGCTTTTCTTCAGCATTACTGAGTAGCGAGAATTACGTATTGAAATTCTGCTACAGAACTGACCTCTGGGTGGAAGCAGAGGTTTTTATTAATAAAGCTGGGCTATCAGATACAGTTAGTTATTGGTGAAGGGAAAGAACTATGATAATTCTGAGTTAAGCCGCAAGGGCCTGACTGAGCAGATGGCAGCTTTGTAAGCACAAGCAGGAAACTTGGAAAGTGATTTCTAATTCTTAATTCCTAGGGAGTAATTGGGGTCCCTTTAAAACTGGATGATAGGGGTGGCTGTGGAAACACAGTTAAACTACTAATACACACTTGTCTTTATTCCAGTAAACAAGGAATTATGATCACAAGACCTACTTCCGTACATCATGTAGGTTTCTGCCATGGGCAGGGACGCCTCGCACTAAA